TTAAGAATAATGTTAGGATGAGCTCTAAGAGTCGTCTAAAATACTGGGTGTTTGTTGGGGGGTTGTTGGTATCGTCTTATGAAAACCAACTATTCGGGTAATAATCAGATACGTTTGCTGTCATTGGATTTGTTCTGATTCATGCAGTGGAAATTATCTTATAAACGTTGAGGTTTTGAATTTCTTCTAACAGCAAATTCTAAGTCTGCCAACAGTTTTCTCTTCTTGCATCAGCTCATCTAATCAGAGGCTTCTTGGCGGGTCGAGAGGGTAATCAATCAGTTTGTTCTTGTACGAGGTGTCAGCAGTTACTGCCCTTTCTCATGTATGATCGACAAGAAATCTGAATTTAAAAAAAAGAAAAAGGCAAAGAAGCCCTCCTGAAACCGCCAGTGACTCGAACCCATTTTACTGTTTTCACATATAACACGGGCAGTTCCGGAGCACGTCAGCCTGATGAAAGCAAGCATCGGTTCCTATTTGTTTAGAGCCTCCGAACATCGGGTATTTAATCGGGCGATTAAAGCTGGATATTAAATTACGTTGCCTGCCGCTGTAGCTACTCTCCGGGAAGCGGTAGAGGTGCGGATGCCGAAGGCTGCCTCCCGTGCCAGCAGCCTCCGCGAAGAGCAAAGCCGAGCTGCGCTGTGCTGGCGCCCGCCTTTCGTACGCGTGAAAGAAGATGATGCTAGAGTATCCCACTCTGTAAAGTGGGATAGCAGCGTATGGAAAACGTGCAGCCCTGGTGTTTGCGCGAGTAAAGGCAGCTCTTAGCTTGACGTTTCAAGCAGGAGTTCAGGAGGCTCTTCTCTTCCCCCCGGCTGGGACAGGTACCAAGTCGAAGGGTCCGCATCAGAGCGCAGCGGTCTCATCCAAGTCGTGTCAAGGGCGGTCACGCGGGGAAACGTCCTCCCGTTGCGCCGGGGTTCTGGCGCGGGTGCCCTGCTGCGTCCGTGGCGGGGGCACCGGGGAAGGACTCGGCTGGCGACTGCGAAAAGGAGATCTCCGCGCGTAAAATGCACGTCCCTTTCTGTGGGGGGGGGAACGTGGGGAAATGAATCACTACAACTTGCAGGATGAAATGAATGCGAATGACCTCAATTAACTTGGTATTTTCTTATCTTTTCAGTTTAGTAAAATCTTGCAGTTATAAATAAGAGCTTTGCATTAAAATACGAGCTAGTTAAGCGAGGGAACGCAACTGAGGAAAATGTCAGGAAGTTACGATCATCTGATCTGAGACACTGAGTATCTTGTTCTACAAGATATTTTGCTTTTAGATGCAAGAAATAGCTGCTATGCTGTTGTGTAGGCTTTCTTCACTGCAGAAACTCATTTTTTGGCTTTGATGTTAATTAGCCTGTGTTAAATATTTATCCTGAACTGTCCAGACGCATAAAGTGTTTGCATGGTTCTGCATTTATATATATTTTTAGGGCTTTGTACTGGCTCTATTATACTCCTTTTAGGCTGCTCCTTCCATGCTTAAACGTATAGGAATTTCTACCACTTAATCCCTGGAGTAGTGGAGGCATGTGGCCATGGGAAACTTTATCCTTGTACTGGCCTTATTACGGAGAGAGAAACTCATGAACTCACTCCTTGGCCACTTCTGGCCCAATGAAGTTGGGAACGTGTCTAGAAAATACCAGAAATCCATTCTGAGTTTTTGCTTGAAATAAGGCAAGTTTTTAAAATTAACGTATTTATTCCTATCCCCTGGACTGTGGTCTGTGTCAGGCAGCCTGCGTTAGTGGATTTGAGTGTGGCCAGTGCTTTGCCCGAGAGAGCAGCGGGAGTTCACGGAGGTTCGGCAGCTGGTTCGGTAGGCAGCAGCGCTGCGGCCTGAACCCGTGTGGGAGACGCGAGCTGTCTTTGCGGTGTCGTGGGGGGGTTCCCTGCTTAGTTTTGCAAGGCAGAAGAGTTCCTGCGGCGTTTTTGTAAAACCAGAAGCCTTGATCTGGGGGAAGGAAGGCTCTGTGGGATGTGAAATGAGCCTATTTTTTACCTGATATTGGTGAGAACTTGTCCATCAGAGCTTTTTGCAGACACATCCCAGAGGTTTTCATGAGCAGGAGCCTGATATACAAGTGAGAAGTTAACCAGGGGAAGGAATTATAAAACCCAGTGAAGGAAGCAAAGGCTGGGAAGCGCAATTCTCGTACACTGAGTTTGCGTGGGAAGGGTAGGATTGCCCAACAGTTCTGATAAACACTCCTGATCACAAGTCCGTTTACGTTCATGCTTGCAATATTTGATACTTGAGCAGCTTGTTTCAAAAGTACGTGATCATGAGATATAGATAAAATGTGGCTGTTGTCAGGGGAAGCTATGGTAGGGAGATGTATGTAAATTGTAGTACTTTACTTGGATTTGTGTAATGGTTATAAAATGTCTGGTCTTGGCAGCAATTCTCCATGATGTACAAAATCCTGAATAAACGGTGTTCGGTCACTGTCTGACTCCTTTCTAGCATCTGTCACTATTAGTGCAACCTGTTATCAGTCTCATCTTTCTAGGTAAGATAACTTTATATATCCTAAATTAAGCAATTAACGATATATTAAACAGACTAAATATACCAGTAACGTGCTGCACATCACTTTGTGATCGGGCATAAAGCTGGAACGTTTCAGGCGATATTTGTGTTGTGCTTGATTCTGCAGAGCAAACATTAGCCTTTGTGTTGTACGAAACCCCAGTCCTGCTCCCACTTGGGTGAAATGAAAAGCTGCCGCTGCTGTGAAAGGATGTTGGACTGGCCCCAGAGTAGTGGAGGGACTTAATAGTCACTGCAGTGAAAGTCGCTGAATGGACTCGATTTCAGTCCTTTGGCTTGGGTTGGAACAACTGAGGTGACCTTTGCTTGCCTTTTTGCTCACATCTATTAAATCAGCCTGTGGTACTTTCAAATGATCAAACTGAACTGCAGCTTCACAATTTTTTATTCTCTAGTTCATTAGAGTAATTGTAAAGTAATGAAATGTAGCATATTCGCAACCAGTTTTGGAACTAAAGGAATATGTAAGGCTTCTGGGTGCCAGGACGTTATCTTGAAGGACTGTCAAGCTGCTCAAGATGGCATCTGACAATACATGAGGTGCCTGCAGGCTTAATCCACTTTTAGGAGACAAGCCAGTTTGCTTGTGTTTCAGGAACATCCTCAGCGCGCCACAAAGCTGTCGCTCGTCTAGTAGAGGAGATAAGGAAAGCTGTCTTCTGTCAAGATCTCCCCTGCCTTGCTCCCCTCCAAAATTAAAAATAAAAAGCTGTTCTGGAGTTGTAACAGGGATGGGGATGCAAAGGTTGGAAATAATGCCTTAAAGGTTTTGGACCAGGACTTGAAGCCTTTATTTACCGTCATTCTTGGTGCATGTGTGACTGGTCTGTTGGGAGGTCCAGGATGCTGGTTTGCAGCAGAACGCACGTTCCTGTGACGCGTGCGTCTCGGAGCTGTACTGCACAGCTGTGCCTGCCTCCCCTTGACCATTTTCTGTTACGAGTTTCACAAGGGTTAGAGAATTGAAGCAAGGAAGTGTGCATGTGGCTGAGTTCAGAAGTTAAGAGCAAGGCTGTTACGGCAGCGAGACGTGTCCCACTTAAGTTTTTGAAGTAGATAATAAATGACCAAGCCTGTTACATAGTGGAGAATAAGTTGGTTTGTACTGGAAAGGGGAGGTGGAAATGCCGTGTTTCATTCAGTGCATCTTACCTTGGAAAAGCAGAGTTGTACTTAGCGCCCTTGGATTGTCTACAACTGGCTAGAAACGCGTGCTGGTGGAGGAAGGTATTGTGTTTGGTCGCGTAGCAACAGTTAATTCGGTCGTTCAGGTTTACTGTAATGACATTTAAAACCATAGTTACAGTCATACGTTTCACTCCTTGGTATAATTGACCTTTGTTTTTCAGCTGACTGTGCTCAGTGCTTGGTGGGCCTTGCCCACGCTAGAGCTCCTACCAAAACTTACGGCCTCTTACAGGCAAGATTACGTGTGAAGATTGTGTTCGCTGTCTGTGTTTCTGGAACAAACTTGCAAGCAGTTGAGTCTCCAGTCCAGCAGCGTGTGTCGGGACGAGCTAGCTGTTGACTTCTGTTCCGGTTCGATACATGCCTGTCCGGGTGGGTGGAAGAGAGCGTTGCAGGAGGAGCTGGAGAAGCCTAGCTGTGCAACGAGCTGGACCAGTTCTCCTCCTGCCCTCGTCTGGGCTGCTCTTCTGTGGGTGTAGACCTCGGTGTTGATGCTGTTGTGCATGGGCTCCTCCAGATACCCTTGGTGTGCAAGGGCACGCTGGGACAGTTTGGGTTGCTTACGATGAGCAGACATTGTGCAAGTGCTTACGAGCGGCAAGTTACCGGTCAAGCTTGAGGCATTTAAACCAATTTGAGTGATAGCATCTCTCCTCTCATCTCTAGAGACCTTGTAGTAGGAGTAATATATAATTAATAGTATATATGTGTACAAATTGTGTACATGTAAACAATCTTTGTGCATTTCACAGCATTAAGTAGTGAAGGTAAAGAAACATGTGTCTTGCTTGTATTTGAGATTTTTTCCTCCCAGCAGTTGCGCAGAAGTTTGGCTGGCTGGCAGGGACCCTGCAGCAGCACTGAAACCTTGTCTGACAGTTACTACACTATTAACTGGGCTGTGATGTGTTGGGCAGGGGGAAAACAAAGATATTTTTAGATCGGCTTACGTATTGAAGCCTGCCGTGTGCTGTAGCACAGTCTCTGGTTTGTGGTGTGCTAAGAGTGACTTAGAGTCATTTTTTTGGCTTGCATCCTTCCTGTGGCAGGGGATGGACAGAAGGCATTTTAACAATCTTAATCTTGTTTAAGGAGGCAAGCAGAATGGTTTATCTAGGAAGAAAAGTAGATGACAAAAATTAGAACATGTGAAACATTGTTCTGTATTGAGTGGCACTTGGTAGAAAATTCAAATAGCTATTTCAGGTGCAAACCTCTCAAATCCTGACTTTATTTTTTTACTTTTGTCCAGCTGCTCTTCAGGCCCTAAAGCGCAAGAAGAGGTACGAGAAGCAGCTTGCGCAGATAGATGGCACGTTATCAACAATTGAATTTCAGAGGGAAGCCCTTGAAAATGCCAACACTAACACTGAGGTGCTCAAGAACATGGGTTTTGCTGCAAAAGCTATGAAAGCTGCTCATGACAACATGTAAGTCATTCCCTTCTGTATCATTATGTAGGCCCTTCTCTTTAGTTTTGGTTCATTTGATCTGCTAAATGCTAAGTATTTTATAGCCAAAGGTACAGCTAGAGTACCAAAACGTTCTTTTGAAAGACTAGAACTTAAATACAACTAAAGCACTAGCTGTATTTGCTTATTGACCAAAACGTGAAGTACCAATACTTTCTCAGTTTGGCAACATTTCATATGGTGTGAAGCCTCTAACCGTAAATGCTCTTTGTGCAACAAAAGACAGCATCAGTGTAGTCTGAAGCAAATGGGAGTGTGTACCAGTTACAAATACACCTACCAGCAGCAATAATTTTAAGCCTCAAAGGGAGTCTTGTACTTTTTTCCTATGCAGTGGAGCTCTGCAGTGGAGTTTGTTTATGTAGCAGTAATTAAAGGTAAACTGCATTATGGGAATGTTGCATTTACTCCAAAAGCAAGTATTGGAGAAGCAATATAATAATGCTGGATCAGGAAATAGAGCAAATTATGATTAATGCTAATAATACAAAACAAAACCTCTTTATGTGAAGTCTTGGCATATGACTCCTGTGAGTTAAGCTTTTAGAGAAAATTAAAAAATACATATATATATATATGCATAATTTTGCTGTGACCATGGGGTATTAAACTCGGACTTGCATTCCGAGTATATTTCATGTCACGGTGTGGCATTGTTACAGAACCGGGAAATACAGTCTTAAGTGCCAGAACGGGCAAGTGCTTGATTGTACTGAACCCTTTCCTTTGTTTTACAGGGATATTGACAAAGTAGATGAATTAATGCAGGACATTGCAGAACAGCAAGAACTGGCAGATGAGATTTCAACAGCCATCTCAAAGCCTGTAGGATTTGGGGAAGAATTTGATGAGGTATACCTTGAATGTTCCTCTGTTTTAAATAAAATCCTTCTCTTGAGGTCTGTATGTCGCATGTGTTTAGGTATAGTATTAGGATATAAATGTCTTCTAAAACTTGTTAATTGCTGCTACTACCTTTGTGCACAGCATCTGTGATCTTGACTTAATGCTAAGAGTGATCTGGATAGTCTAGTTAGAGAATATTTGTATTAAAATTTTTTCCTCTCCTCTTCTGCTTCCTCCTCCACTCCCTGCAAGAGAGTGCAAACAAGAGTTCAGATGAAGATTCAGACCCATCTTCTCAGTTTGCTCCGAACCTATGAGTTTAAGCCATTTTCTGCCCTAGCATCTAAACCTGCTTGATAATACATATGATCTAAAAATTTATTTTTTTCCTTATAAAACTAGGATGAACTCATGGCAGAACTAGAGGAACTAGAGCAAGAAGAATTAGACAAAAACTTGCTGGAAATAAGTGGTCCTGAGGCAGTACCACTACCAAATGTGCCCTCAATATCAATACCATCAAAGCCAGGTATGTATGTACCTTTACCAGAAAGATCTTGGTTTGTTAACAAGTACGTTCATTTAACTGCTAGCTCTGCTGATTTGAGAGACCTAACTATAGGCAACACAGACATTTCATGTAGAATTGTTTTGAGAATGATGAGGTACATCTAGTGCTGTCTCTCCATGGGTTAACCTGCCGTTCATTAGATCCATGAAAATTAATGGCTAGCATACAGGAACACTTATTGTGCATTCTGGCACTTCCAGTTTATCCACAGCATGTGAGGCTCCAGATAGAGCCAGAGATGTGGAAGAAGGAAGCTAGCGGGAGTGTTCTGCCAGTTGTTACTGACCCAACGGGGAAGTAATCTTGACAAGCAGACCAAGGATGTAAAAGGAAGGCAGTGGAGTGTAAATGAACTGTTAGAACTAGTCTCAGGGTGGTTCAAATACCCAGAGTAAACCATGCTTCCTGAATGCTCGTTGGTGGGTGTTTGTTTTTTGTTTTTTTTGCTTTTGGGAGGAACTGACCTGGCTGTCATCAGAGCCCCCTCTTTGGGGGCAGCTGTTGCCTCCTCTAGCTAAGGTGTGCAGGTACTCAAGCTAGATGGTACAAGAGTTAGGGTCTTGCTAGTCTTGGAGCAAGTACATCTAGGAAATTCTAGTTAGTGTGATGATGTTACTACATGGAAAATGGACAAGAAATACTTGTATTTACAAAGACAATTCGAAGCTCCTGTTATATCTGAATTAGTCACTCTTCTGTGAGCTAGAAGCGGTGTCTCATGCAACATAGCTGAGATGGAATATCTTTGGCATGCGTTAATGGAATATGAAGCTTTACAACCCAATTTTGCTGAATCTACCTTAATGTGTTAAAAATAAGTTGTATAATTTGTGGCTCTACTTCAGTGTGTTTGTCTAATAGAAAAAAAAAAAAAAACTCAAAAACTAGAAGATGAAAACTGTCTCAGCTGGTAGTATCTGTAATTACCTTGTTGTCTTTTCATGGCTGATAAGAACCTGTGAAACAGACACTGACAGACAAGGTTCTGCTCTAGATGGTGACGTTTGTTGCCTGTGAGCTAGCTGCTTTATTTTGAAGTTACTGATTTTGCATTTCTTCTAGTTTTGTTTTGGTAGGCAGAATTGCTGAGAAATGTTGATGACAGCGGAGTTATGTCAAAGTATCTTAAATCAGAGACTTAATCCAGATTCAGATCCAATAAAAGGGAAAATAGATTTAAGTAACATATGCATTACCTTTATATTTCACAACTCTGTTTTAATGAAGTTTGTTCTCTAAGTGATGGCTGGACATGGACGTTAAAATACTGACTTGAAATTAAATATGCCTCTTTTATATTAGTTAGTAAGGACTGCTAACTAGGCAGATGCATTATAATTATACACATAGTTAAGCAACTTTACAGCATAAGATCTATGCAAGCATACCATTTCCTAACATAATAAAAGTTGTAAAAACTATGAATGTATTTACTTACTAGATGAGTTTTACTCAGGGTTTACGTTAAGCTGCATTTGGATGAAGCCTCCATTAGCGTATTAAAACAGCATGTTATGTGGTTTTTGCTTGGGAGGTGTGCTGGGAAGCCTTCAAACAAGTCCTGGATTTGGAGGAACTTTGGGATTTGGAGGAACTTTGGGATTTGGAGGAACTTTGGGATTTGGAGGAACTTTGGGATTTGGAGGAACTTTGGGATTTGGTTGGGGAGAGGGGATTGTTTTTGTATTTTTGAATCAAAAATATGTTTTACTTAACATTGGCTTAATATACACTGGGATTAAAGGCTTTTTCTGATCACTGGGTCAGATTTTCAAAGGGTCGGATTTACCTAACAATGTAGATATGTGCTTAATATCACTTTTAAAAATAAGTAGTGTGTCTTCTGAAGCAGAGCCGATTCTATTGTGTCCTTATCCGTCAAATGGAAGATGATCACAAGTAAATGTTTCATTCAGAATGGCACAAACCATTTTGAGTGCGAATAATTTGACTCATTTTTTTCCCTTTTGAAGCATAGGTCTATTTTGAAGTAAAAACACTATCTGAAAACGATTACTACTTCTTGGATATTTTTCCAAAATGATTGCAGCCATTTCTGAGTTAAAACCTTTTTACTGGGTTAATGCTTTTCATCTCCAGAAACTGGATTTGTCTTGTTATGATAAATAGCAGCATTTACTTCCCTGGTAAAAACCAAAAATGATAGCAGAGCATGTGCAGCCAATTATTAGTGGGCATGGCAAGAGAAGGGGAATAGCGCATACCTAGTGCTAGTTAGCTCGTGCCAGTAACTTCTTCAGCCACTGGAAGAGCTTGAACTGACACAAGAGTTGAAGGTTTCCCAATTCTGTACATAGCCAGACCTCGAACTGCAACAAACAGGTGCTGTGTTTTGGACTTACTGATGTAGTAAGTAATTTAATTGTGTGGGGGGGAAAGATTGTAAAACTGGAGACGGGAGACCTCTCTCTGTGAGGAAAATATATCTCCTGGAGGGGTTCAAAAGCCAAAAGCTCAGCGTTTTCTGCTTTGAGGCTTGCTGATTATGGAAGAATGCTAGATGCTGCTGGTGTATGCATCCAAACCTACATAAACATTTGCATTTGTCCCATGTAAGCCATTTTCTTTTCCCATTTAAAGCAGTAACATTAGAAAGTTTAGTCCATGCTGGCCTTTTTGTGGAAGTCACCTTTTACTTCAATTGAAAAAGGTCTTTTTTATTTCCCCCCCCCCCCCCCCCACCCCCCTAACAGCGTAACTCAATCCAATTACGATTAGCTGCACAGAGGCTTTTGTCCTGCAAAGAATCAAGAAATTGCAGGATTCTGTCATGGTTCCCACTCCTAATTCATTGCTTTTTTTTGTTACTTAGCAGCTAAGAAGAAAGAAGAGGAAGAAGATGATGACATGAAGGAGCTGGAAGCTTGGGCAGGAACCATGTAACCACAGCAGTAACTGGCTGAAAAAAGACTTTGGTTGCCTATTCTGGGTGCAAATGTGTTGTATTGAGGAGAAAGTATAAGCAAAATGTCTTTATCTTTAATTTTAACCCCAAGCAGTGGGAGTTGCATTGCTGTTTTCCACATAGCGTGGTCTGCGCGAAGGAAACAGGGGAGCAGGGGGAATCACCTGCAGTTTAAGCAGTTGAATTTCTGTAAAAAGTTATGTGCAAAATCGAACATTCAGCTTTTGGACTATGCTAATGCCACTGTTGGATCTTCATCTTCTAAAATTTGGGCCATATTGAACTGAAATAAACTGAAAAACAGTCTGTAATTTTAAGTCAGTTGAAGTGTGTCTAGAAGTCTCGTAAGGCATTTTTTAAAAAAAAAAAAAAAGAAAGTCATAAGCCACCACCGGCTTCTTATTGTGTTTAGGTGTAAGAATGCTTTAGATTTTTAGTTCTTTGCAATTTATATTTATATCCCTTGACTGATGTGTGGCCAGCCTTGCATTTGTCACTGCAACAGTGTAGTCACGATTCCTGTTTTAATTGGTGATAATGATTTGCAATGGACAAGTGCTGTTCTGGAAGTAGGGGAGATTTAAATTTCAGCTGTACATTTTTCTACATAGCACTACAATGTTTATTGCTTTTTGTGATAATTGATAACCCATTCAGATACATGCACACAATTATTTTAATTAAGAAACTACTATGGATTGCACTGTATTAAATATCTTGATTAATTTTCATCCTTGGCTACTGTCATAATTCTGTGATGTTTAAGGAATCTGACTTTATAACTCATGCGCAGTTTGGTCTCTTTCTACATAAATGACATAGGCTCTTTAATGCTAGCCAGTCTTCAGCTGTGTGACTGTGATTAGTTGTATAAAACAACAGCCTTAGCTGAGTAAAATTGCTAGAGGGCTCCAATAGCCGTTTTCTTATTGTAGGAATATCCTGGGCCACTGTGTCAAAATACACCGTAAGGAGAAATCAAAGCTTAATTACCAACAGAAGCTACAGGTTTGAGGAGAGAGCTGAGAGCCTTGGCTTTGTATTTTTTGTCGTAGAAATGATATCTGATGTGCACCTTACTGACAAGCTTGTATTTTAAAGCACTAGTATTTTTCTAGGGGTTATGTCTGAGCATCTCAGGTTCAGTAAAGTATCTTAAGAGAAATGTTCAGGTTTAGCTGGAAAAGGGGGGGGGGGAAATCCCATGGTATTGTTACTGCTTTTTGCAGTTACTCATGCAGAAGCTCAAACAGTAAGTGACAGAGGCATCACCTGGCAACGCAGCTGCTTCCTGGGTTGTGTTTTCTTTCCTGTTCACTCAGCCAGTTGCTTTAACTAAAGGAAGAACCTAGTTTGCACAGCAAGAAGAAAATGCAATAAGAAAGAAGCGAGTGTAGTGATTCCTGTTTACTCTTATCCAGACAGCTAGGACAATCTTTCTCTTATAGCCTGCTTTTTTTTTTTTTATTTTTCCCTTGAGTAAGAACTGTTAGGGCTGGTTTCTTAATCCTACAATTTATTAGCATGTCTGAGGATTAATCACCCTCTTTCTGCATTAAGTGTTGCTGCATTCCTCGGTGTGTTGCATAGTATCAGTGAATAGCTAGAGTTCTTAGAGTAAAACCCTTTCTGCTTTGCTTGGACTCATTCTGTGGGCAAAACCTGTTTGTAACAAACACCAAGATACAGTGTAGAAAGAAGTATCTAACTACAGTTCCCTTTTTTCCCAGGAAAGGTACTCTAGCTCCTGACAGGCAACTATTAGCAATTAAGTTGCCCTCATTGAGGGCAGCTGCATCAGCTTTTTCGTGATGATCTCTTGTATGCTAAAGGAGGCAGGCAGAAAAATGGGATCTGGATCTTTTCAGTTTGTGATTCACCCCCCCCCCTTTTTTTTTTCTTCCAATAAAGAAGGAAAGCATTGCTGCTGTTATAGGTATGCATAATACTGACCTATTTAAAGTAGGGCAAAAATATAGTCTAGGCTGATGAACCTCATTACTACTTTGCCCTTATAATGCCTCCAGCCTTTTACAGAGGAGGTGGTTGTTATCTGTTGTGCAGGTAGAGAAACTGGGACACTTCATTTATACTTAGACCCTAAGGAAGCATAGCAGTTTTACCAGAAGTAGCAGGGAAGCATTTTGCATTTTATAGCTAAATATTATGTGTTTGGGGTGGGGGAGTCAGTAAAGAAATCTTGGCATGGTGACTGCTTTAAGGCCTAGGTTTTCAGATGCACAAAGTATCTGCTGTCTATCTTTAGAAAAGGGGGAACAACGCAAAGAGCACTTGTAAAAGCAAGAACAGAGAGGTAGTGGTTAAGATGGCTTTGCTTTCACTGCTTCTAATATAAACCTTTTGTATGCTTCCTCCCTGAGGGCTGAAGAATGCTGTTGCATTGGTGCAGCAGGCAGGACTACTCCATCTCAGGAATAATGAAAATCCATAGCACTGCTCAATACTACTTTATATGCATGAAGTTAATCTTTAGTGTGATTGGATCTTTACCTTCCCAGAGGTGTAAATAGCTCCTCTGTGCTCCTTTCATGGACTTCTCCAACAGACACTCCTTTGGGGACTCCTACGATACAGGCATTTAACTGCAAAAAGTTTAAGTAGTTAAGGGAAACTTTAAGTAGTTAAATAGGCAGGAAACTAGAGGGGTTCCCATTAGGCACCGGAGCAGCAAATCACTTTGCAGTTTCCCAACTGATGAGTTAAAAGCAAGTTAGCTTGTTGATGTGTCTTAGTAATGAGTTCTCAGGAAGTGCTTCATGGGACCTCCCTAATAAGAGTAATCAAGAGACCTAGCTGAAGAGTGATTGGCCTTGCACGCAGGTCCAGATGCTGTAGGAGCAAAGCAATTGCCCTTGGAGGGGGGAGGTGGGTAGGCAGCACACCGGGAGCCATCTCAGGGTGTGGTGGGGGGCATTATGCTGACTAAAATGTGTAATACTTTTTTTGTTGGTACTTGGAGCATCTGAGCATTTGTGAGAGGAAGAGTGACTTCTTCAGAAAGTCACTGGACCCTTGTCTTTGCTTTTCCATGCAGGAAAATGCTGCCTGCCTCCCTGAGCGTGAGTGATGTAGCCCAGTTGTTTGACGTTATGGGTCTTGTGTGGGCCAAAGGCTTTGCTGCCAGGCTTGCCGCAACCGTTACTGCGTTCATAGGTCTGCCATCAGTGAACGGCCTGCTTTGTGGCTGTGAGGATAATAGCTCCTGTGCTGAGAGAATGAGGAGCTCTCTCTTCCATCCACTTCAGTTCAGGTGTTTCAGATTCAGTGTGCGTGAGGCACGGAGCTCAGGGCTGGCCGGCTGCGTGCGGCCGTGGTTCCCTCTGCCAGCATGGGCAAGGCTGGCCAAGTCTGAACCCAGCGCCCTTTGCTCTGAGTGCCTTTGGGGTAGCAGTTGGTTAGCATGGTCGCCTCACTCATGGGTTGGGATGTGACTGCTCCCTCCCCATACGCAGCACCTTTGTCCTCAGCTAAGGAAGGTGGATTTGGAAGGGAGGGGGCAGAAGAGCGCGTGGTCGCGTGCTGTGGTCGGCAGTCTGTGGTTGCGCAGCCAATGCTGTAGTGTGGAGCCGAGCTGTGATCGTGGCAGTCGGCTGCAGAGGGAGCAAAGAGGGGATGGGGGGGGGGGGGGGGAGGGAAAGGAGGGGGAGCGGTGTGTGCTGAGAAGGGCACAGCGGAGAAGATGAGGAGCAAACCAGATAATGCACTCAGTCCCTATCTAATGTGTCAAGCACTGTTCTGGGCGTTTTCCTTTCCCTGAGCAGCTCCCGAGTGTGTTTGCAAAGAGAACCGGAGGCGTTTTGACCTTGGTGGCCTTTGTTTCGGTTTCAGTAACTCACATTTACAAGCAGTCCGAGAAGGTGTCTCCGCGGTGCTTGTACTGCCAGGGGAGGGAGCAGGAGCACTTTCCCAGTCCTCTTTAGGATTTGCTGCACCCTGGGCATGCACACGACATGGCATTTTGATTAGGAGTAGAAGCTAATGGCTGTCACTTAGTGCCATAAATCAGCTGCCACACTTTCCCTGGAGACTTCCTTTTCCCTGTCTGAAATGCTTGCCGCCATCCCACCTCTGTCCTTGGCCCACCTCGAATAGCCTCTTATCGTGTGGCTGTAAAGCTCCTGGATCCCCCCTCAGGACCTAGTGCTGGTTTGGGGAACAGCTGAATCTTATTTCAGTGCCAAATAAACCCTGCTTCCAGCTCTCAGTGGCCTCACAGCAAGGTGGCAGGGCTCCGTAGCGCTCTTTATCTTTGCCCCAGGGTCTTTGATGCAGATTGTCCTGTGGATTCTTTCTGCAGTTTTCTTGCTCCTTAATTGGCCTTCAGGCTCTGGACTCCCGCTCAGTGTCTCATTGCTGGGTTTTCTTGCAGGTGAGATGGGTGCCCTGGGCTGAGCTCTGCGGGAGCGGCAGATGCGGGTGCTGCGGGGGGTGCGCTAGCCTGCCTATCTGTTACAGAGCTAGGAGCCCCTGCCTGCTTTTCGCTGGGAGGCAGTTGGTGCGTTTTGGCAATGAAGAACCGGTGTCCCCTGGCCAGCCTTGCCCTGGAGGTTTCTACCTGGACTTCTTGTCTTCCTCTTCTTTACCCTGCACCTACCCAGCCCACGGCCTTTGTCATACTCCGACATGGAAACCCATCAAACCCATCTCCTGCGGCACTGCTGCTCCTCTGTTCCCAGCCGCAGCCCCCGCTGCGCTGTCAGCTCCAGCGTACGGAGAGCACCTTCCTCATCCTGTGTTGGGGAAAGCGCCCTGTGCATCGCTGGTGCCAAGAGGGCGTTCAACATCAAAGAGGACGTCAAAGAGGTGGAGCGGGCTCGAGAGCTCCTGGGCCGCAGTGCTGCCTCGCTGCGGGGGTCTCTCCGCAGGCGCCGTGGCGGGGAGCTGTGTCGCGGATCGCTGCGACCCCAAGCAGCAGCCTTGGCCGCACGGGTGCCCAAGCGCAGGTTGTTCTCGAGCTGCTCGAGTCTCCTCCATCCTGCTGGCTCCTTGGATGCAGGGAGCTCTGGAAGGGCAGGGGATGTGCAAGGGACAGGCGGTCTCTCCGCAGCCATCCTGGGGAGCTGGCAG